TACATGGGAATGAAGGTCTGGCAAAAATGGAGACATGATGACTGGGAGGAAAAATCCACCTCTATTGAGATACCTTGCAGTAGCAATGAACCTCCAGAATTAAGATCTTGTGACAGATCTGTTTAACAATCCTTATGTTCAAACAAATCTTAAAAAGTAATTACTAGAGAAAAGAAAAGAAAAGAAAAGAAAAGAAAAAAGAACTAGTTGATTTCATGATTTATGCCAGTCTGAACATATGGAGGAGGAATTGGAATGAATTATTTTGTACTTCTGCACACCTGAGACTTTCTACTATATAGCCTTTAATAGCCAGCAATGACTTATTTCTAGAAGGCTATGACTCTCTTATATACTATCTCCCTTTCTGGCAGGACTGGAAATACAGAAAGGTTTTCTTCCATGTGATTGTTTTGAGTTCCAATAGAATGTTTAATAAGATTACAAGCTATATTTCATGGGAACTGCATACTACTTGTCCAACAAGTGAACAAGGAGTTGGGAGAAGCCATGTGAGTAGGAAACTGCCCATGTGACCAAATATGCATTAATTGCAAAAACAACAATAATAATTGACTAATTGATTGATTATGTGCCATCAAGTCCATGTCAACTCTTAGCAACTACATAGACATTTTTCAGGATGATCTTTTCCCAAGCTGGCCCTTCAGATGTACTCCTCACTACTGCAATCAGGTCCATCCATCTTGCTGCTGATCATTCTCTCCTTCTGTTTCCTTCCACATTTTCCAACATCATAGGCTTCTCAAGGGAGCTAGGAGTTTGTACAATGATCCATTTGTTTGCTTTCCTAGCTATCTATTGGTATTCTCAGGAGTCTTCTCCAACACCAAAGTTCAGAAGTGTGAATACTCTTTCTATCCTGCTTCAGAAGTCCAATTTTTGTTTCCATAGAGCATCACAGGGAAAATCATTACCTGCATGATTCTAACCCTTGTAGGTATACATACATCAAGGCATCTGAATATCCTTTCCAAGGATTTCATAACTACCCTACCAAGTGCATTTTTTCTCCTTATTTCTTGTCAACTCTGAGGATGATTGCTGTACCTGTCATTAGCATGGTCTTTTTTATCTTTAATCTATGTCTCATTTTTTCACTGTGCTCTTTCACTTTCATTACTAGAGCTAGCAGATCATTTGCATTTTCATCTGACAGAGTAGTATCATCAGGATAGTGCTGGTTATTGATGTTTCTTCTCCAATTTTAAAACTACTGTCATCTTCTTCCAATCCACCTTTCTTCAATATATATTCAGCACATAGGTTGAATAAATAAGAAGAAAGTATACAACTTTGTCTCAATCTTTTGCTGACTTGCAACTGACTGGGGCTTCCTGTCCTGGGTGTAGGTTTCTCATGAGTGCATTTTCCTAGGGGCATTGTTATGGCTAAAACCTGTCTCACCTAAAGCAACTACATCACACTGAAGATACAATATACATTTATTAAGCGCACAAACAACAACAGTGTACACCGAGCTCCCAGCAAAGCATTGGCAGCTTGCTAAGCAGTCCTGAGAAAAAGCAGAATCACAGTTTATACATCTTTGGCCTACCACATTTCAAAGACAAGACAAAGGTAAATTACAGCATGATGTTGGACTGCTGTTGATAAACCCATCTGGGTGACCTTATTATTATTTATCCCTTCCTACTAATTCAGTATGCTAGCTAAGCTATTGTTGAGATCTGAACAGTGAATATGAAAAATTTGGTTTACTGGGCCACTGGCCCCTGTCTGATTCTTCCCCCTGTCACCACTCAGGGTCAGTTCAGCTTGCTGTCAATGTTTTATTACAAGGGCACTTTAAACAGTTCACATGTAATGCGGGTGGGGACATCTCATAGGTTTGGTAATGAATGCAGCTCACATGTGTATGGGGAGGTACCTTGTATCACCACATTCCCCCATTTTGTTCCCCCTCTCTTTCAGATGTGCAATATGGTAGAGGGGCTAAAGCAACCAAAAGGGATAATGAGTATAGTGATAGCAGTGTCTACATTGAGTAGAACAGAAAGCACAATACATTTTATACCAACATTATATATAAACCTAAATAGAAGCACAGGAAAAGTTATATTGCCACAACAAAACCTTATGTTCTCAATTAACTTCTATACTTTATGCAATACTTACTTGAGGAACATATTGTGCCTGTTTGTATATTATAGCAATATCAGTGTATATTGGGGGTACCTTCTACCACCACAACAGAGTGCTGTTCTAACGATCTAGTAGCAGTTCTTATAAATACGGAATATCTTCCAAAGTATCTTGGATGTTGACATCCCTATTGTACAGAATATCAATATACTCCTTCCATCTTTGATCTTCTTTGAATCCAATATTATGTATCCTTTAGCATACCAGTTTGAGACTGGAACCTCCTTCTGAGTTCAGAGATTTTTGGAAGACTTTGCTTGTTTTCCAATGTCTGTTGACAGATATCATTGCAATACTGCTTCTTGTCTGTACTAACAGCTCTCTGAAATTCTTTATTATGTTCCTTCTTGAAATCTTTGTCTTTCTTGGCTTTGGCTTCTCCTTCTCTACAGTTTTCATCATCTGTTCTTATATCCAGTTTGTTTTCTTCTGGTTTTTTTTTTTTTTATCTCTGGCAGTTTCTTTTTACATTCAACTTTAAGAACATCTTTATATCACTCCACAGTTCCTCTGGTTCTCTATCCAATGAGGTTCAGGACTTCAAAGTGATTCTTGATGTTCCACTTGGAAATGATGGATATATGCTCATCATGGAAACTGGTTGGTTTTTTTCCCTTCCACTGTAGCTTAACTTGGAGCTCACATATGAACACTTTTTTTCATCTGTTCCATAGTCAGCCCTTGGATGTTTTGCCATTTTCATTGAGCTTTTCCATTTCCTTGTATCAGTACTATAGACAAATTGATGCCTGTGTTATCCATCTAGTGATGTCCATGTACAGTATATAGGCATTGCTTTGGTTGTTTGAAGGATAAGTTAGTTACGAAGAAATTTTTGGATTGGCAGAAACTGGTAGGTCATTATCATGCTTCATTTATGTTTCTTAGCCCATACAGTCCAATTTTATTTTCATCATTAGTATTTCAAATTTTGGCATTTCAGTCTTCAGACATAAAGAACATAACTTGCTTGCACGTTCTGGCAATTTCAGATTGGACTTGAGCACAAAACTCATCAAATTCCTGTTTTTCTGGATCAGTGGTTGGAGCATAAGCTTGGATAACCTTCATATTCAAGGATTATCTGCAAAGGCTAATTGATATTATTCGGTCATTGACTGAATTGTACCCAAGTACTGTCTTTGCCATATCCTTCTTATGAAAGCAAAGCCATCCCTTCTTTGTTTTTTATGTCCCAAGTAGTAAATAGTATGATCTTCTGATTGAAAGGGTCCAATTTCATTCTATTTCAATTCGCTGATGCATAAAATGTCAATGTGTAGTCAGTTCATTTCATCTTTCACTTTATTGAGTTCCCATGTACATGCTTCCTAAGTCCCAGGCTCCCCCTGTAATTTTGTTTTTGCATCTTTGTATTTTCTTTTCCTGCATGGCAGCATCAGCAACTAGGTGTTCCAAAGCCTTTAATCTAGCTGCATCATAAACACCATTAGTATTGTGACAGATTCTCAGTTGTTCCTTAGTAGCATATTGAGTACCTTCCAACCTGAGGGGTTTATCATCTAGCATTATATCATTAATTACTTTATATTGTCTACCCCTGGCATTTTTTTGGTAAAGCAAAGGAGTGATTGACCACTGTCTTCTCCTGAGCAGTATGATCCCATTGTTATGGCCACTAAAGTGATTATCTACCTCCAACATCTTCCTATATTGCTGTTGCCTAATATAGATGCCAGCTTGCTTTAACTAGGCAGCTGAGATGACCTCCATGCTGGAAGGATATACTGTTGGTGTACAATCCCAGCATTCTTTGCTCATCATCCCCACCCCTATCCCCACTTCTATCCCCCCCACCACCAATGAAACAGCAAAGCAGGGGTTGAAGTAGGAGCTGTAGACTTACAAGTAACAGAATTATACACTTGGAAAGGAACAGAATAAACAGGTTGTAAAATACAAGAGGAGTTGATGTCCAACTATTCCAGATGGCTGAAAGATTTCTTTCACTTGGGAGGCAGACAAGAAGAAAAAGGAAAACTCCTGATGAACAAGCAGACATCTGCATACAGAATCCTGGATATTGCTAGAGAATCTGTTGTGGTTGCTGCATGTCTGACTCTGCATTTATCAAGAGTCTGCATCTGCACTGCACATTTTACTAGTGTCTTATTTAAAATATAACTAAAGCATTGCCAGCAAAGCATCTGCATTTCAAACTTCTACTGTGCTGTCTATTTCTTGCCATCAGAAGTGATTCAAAGCATCGACTGCAAACCTCTCAAGTCTTTTTTTAACCAGCGCTAAAAAAAATCTAGTAGAAATAACAGAGTTTGGGAGGAGGTGGATTATCATCAGCATAATGACTCCTCTCGAATTAGGTTGCATTGAGGACAGCCTTCTGAAATTATAATATATGAGAGGTGTCTTTATATGGACTCAGTTTGCAGAGACTGCCTTTATCTAAAACAGTGTTGTCCAAACTTGGCCACTTTAAGATGAGTGGACTTCAACTTCTAGAATTCCCCAG